TTTTACATTTTAAAATGCTTGAAGTGGACGCTATACTGTCCCTCCGTTCAGGGGTTTCACACTTTCCTCAAACTCATGGTTTAAACACACAGATCTGTGTTCATTATCAAGTGGGCTCACACTTCTAGCCAAATCATAAAAGAATCCCTGCTGCAAATGTACATGCAGTTTTGCTTTTCAGCCTCTATACACTGAACCTTGTTGAAGCTTTGTGAAATAATATTCTCTTATGTCTTTGTTTTGTAGTATTTGCTGTAGAACTATTAGTTTCTGGATGATATTCTTTTATTCTGTGTGCGTGTGCATTGGGAATTTGATGTTTAAGTACTGTAAAAGTTGTCTTCACATGCTCAAGGTCTGTTTGCTGCAGTGTGTTGTAGTTTTGTGATTTCTTTGCGGTGGTTGCTTTATCCAATCAGTTCCTAGATTTCCAAATATCTGACTTGGCCAGTTTTCTTTGCATTCAAAAATATTTTCACAAGTGTCCTAATAATGCAGAAAAATAAGAGATCTTTATTTAGCAGGATAAAATTGAAAAACGGATGTTTGAAAAAAAAAAAAAGTAAAAATTATTTTGATCTCAAATCTGAAGATATCCTGTTTAATAGCTTGATATGAACAGAAATATATGCAGAGTATTCTATAATTCGCACCAGTGAATACACTTTACATTTAAATAGTAAATATTTAAATAAATATAAATAGTTTCTTTTTGTCCCAAACAAGAATAGGTTTTTAATTGTGCAAATGCTTATTTTTGAGTGTGCCAGTAGATTTTTAACCATCTTTAACCTATTCAAAAACTTTTTTTTTTAAGATGAGGCCTAATCATAGTTAATTTTTTTAAATTAATTTGCACATCATTCATTTGCCAAAATGCCCAGTTCATAGGGCCAGAAAAATAATAGTGCAGAAAGTTTGCTTGTATACTATACATGCATTCTTTCTCTATAATTGACAAGCCATTGAAAAAAGCCAAAGTTTGTTGTTTGTATTTTTTAAAATTGAAGTTATGCTTGGTCTGCTACTGTTATGTCTTTAATATAAAGATGCTCTTGTGCAATTGTCAGTTTGCCACAGAGACTACCTAGTGTCTTTGTTGACCAACGGTAAGAATTTTCTTTGGTATTTTAGGACAACCGTATTTAAAATTGAAGCAGTTATGTACCTTGATGTATAATCTCTCCCAGGGCCAACCATTTACATGAGACTCTATATGTCTTCAGCCTTTAACACTGAAAACCTGCTTTATATTGGGTGAACTTTTGCTGCATGGTACTGAATATTAAAATACCCGCAAGTCTCGATGTGATGTCCTGCTTTTTTCGCAGTTATCAAGCTCCGAGTATATCTGAACTCTCTGCTAGTGCATTACTAAAACTTTTGCAACTGGAAATACCATTTTTGATGAAGTGGTTTTGTATTATTGTTTTCCTTTATATACAAAAAAAACATTGTTATAGTGCTAAAGAGACAACTTGATAATGCAACCCAGTGGAACTGAAACGCATTCATGACAAAACTTTAAAATACTCTACAGTATGTGCATTTAATGAATGTGAACTGTCTCGGTGGTTCATATCTATACAAAGGCAGCTAATTTCTATTTTTTCAATGTATGATAATTCAGATGTTGCACATACATTTGACTGCAAAGTTCAGACGTTAATCCAATTGTTTGCAACAAGACAACTCTACTCACCAAATATGCAAACCTAGCTTTCAGGAACATAGCCTTGCAGCTTTGTGGTTTGATTTATCTGACCCTTTAAAACAAAAGGAAAATATGTTCCTATTACTATGTTTTCTATGAAAAATAGAAAACAAAATAATAAAAAAAGAATATAAAACATTGTGGGCTTTGTAAGTGTGCTACTTATTTAAAACAAAATGTTATCAAGCTTAAATTCCATTGTCCTTACTGTATTTTTCTGTGTGGAAGCTTAAGTCTTTGTAACTTTGCATTAATATTTGTTTATTGAATTGAATAAAAATGTTAAAAAGCATATTTGTTTGTATGATTTTCCTCTGTGCTCGGAGACATTCAAATAGAGAAGTTAGGTCTGTGCTTATAACTATTTTATAATTATAGACTCCATACATAGTGTAGTAATATTGAAAAGAATGTTATAGAAAAACAAATCAAAGAGAAAAACAAATATATTTGCTAACTGTAAGCGATAGTTTTTTTTCAATAGCCGTATGATACAAAAATAAGTCTATTTGTATTCTATTATTAGGGAAAGTTCTGTATACATAAAATATATTTTAAATATAATCTTAATTTGCATTATTTTTTATTTTAGACTTGACAGAGCCATACTAATGTTTCCTAGATATTAGAAGGCTATTAGAAAATGTATATTCTTACATTTGTTGATAGCACAGTGAAGTGACATCCTTTTCCTCTTTTCTTTTTGTTATTTATACGTTTTAGTTATTGTCTAGAACCTAAACCGTTTATCTACGGTTTGTATAATTTGTAACATGTTCAATGTGTATTATATTGGATATTTATTATGGTGCTGTTTATATCATGTGCATATATTTAATATATAAAACTTTCAGATTTCAACACATTAGTTAAAAAAACAGTAGTTACTGTGTTGGTTGTCATGTTCTAGAAACCGTCTATGTTCTGCATTGTTTGTCTGGCTGCTGAATTGATTTGAACCTGCGTGATGGCGTCACGCGGCGTCGCGCTCTCCCATAATGCAGCGGGCCTGAGGTTTTGATCCAGCGGAGTTCCTGAGATCGGTGAGAGCGCTCGACGCAATGTGGCGGAGAGACACGACAAACGTCGAACCTTCATCTCCCAACTGAACACGCGCACACACACAGACCATTTCTCAAGCCAACAATCACATCAGAAACATGTGGTTCCGCTACTTCTCAATCCTCCCGGGAGGTCTGTGAGTTCCTGCAATCCATTAAGCCCTTGAATCCGGAGGATTTTTCCCCCGTCGGCCGATTCGCACCGAGCAGGCAATGACAACGGCCTCCGCAACCCCGCAGCAGATGAGAGACCGGCTGCTGCAGGCCATCGATAGCCAGAGCAATGTGAGTAACCCGCTCACTCTCCTGCCGACCAAAGCTGACTTTCCCCGACACGACACAGTTAGAGCCTTATTTCGCGTCGCCGAACGCCGCATCGAGCGTCTGAGAGTGTGTGGCAGATCAGATATGGAGCTCCCGTTAGCAGTCCGCTAACTGACGGAGCCTCATTTACCCCGCGCTACGCTAACGGAACAACCGGACAGGCGCGAGATAACCCTGCTTTTCAAACATTAGCATACTTTAAGTGCTTTTATAAAAGCAGCCACTTCGATTTAAGGTGCATGTTGCGATCAGACACAGATGACATGTTGTGGGAAGCCTGTTGTCCGCTAGCTGCTTCATGTCAAGCTATCAGCTATTGAGCTTTGGAGCAGATTTAAAGAATTCTCGGCTCGTTTTGTAAGTTTAACAGTATCTCTAATGCCGCCAGTGAACATTGTCTGTTGTTTCCTGCTTATACACGGCATATCTTGGCTAATATGAGCTCGGTATATGTGGTTAGTTGACACAGTGGCATTAGCAAAGCGCTAGCATTTGAATTCATGCCGAGAGCGGAGAGTTAGCTTGATTTTGAATCACCAAGAGAGATTAAAACTCTGTCGATGCCTTCAAACAGTCATGTATTTGTGGTCTTGGCTGTCCTGGGTGTTTGTGAATGTGTGTGTGTGTGTGTGTGTGTGTGTGTGTGTGTGAGTGTAGCTGGGATTCCCTACATTATGGGGACCGAATGTCCCCACAAGTATAGTGATACCATTGAATTTTAACTTTTGGGACATTTTTAGGTCCCCATGAGGAAACGAGCCTATAAATCACACAGAATGAAGTTTTTGAAAATGCAAAAATGCCTGTAGTTTTGTGTGAGGGGTAGGGTCA